CCCCAAAACCCCAAAACCCCAAAACCCCTTTTCAATTATGTATATTTGAATAATTAAATTTTATGTATTGGCCTACTGGATTGCTGAAGCAGAGGTTCTTCTTGCCTTAAGAGCTTCTATTTTGAGGTACTCCTTCTCCATAGCTTCAAGGACCCTCCTCTGTCTCTCTTGGAATGCTTTCTGAGCCAGTTTCTTAGCTGGTTTAATCGGTGTGTATTTATCGAAATTAGTAGTAATGTTGAGCCTGTTGTTTGGGTTGAAGTCAATCTCTTTGCAATCTATAGCCTTTTCCCCACCTGTTTTTACTGCACTCAGAGTTAGATTCAACTCCTTGGGAGTATCTCACATAAAAGAGCGAGACAGCATTTCTGATATATTTACTGGTTCATTATTGTTAGACAGATTTATCATTCTTTTATCAGTTGGAGACCTCAGAAGTGCAAAATCCTTGTCAGCACAGACCTGAGGAGTCTCTTCAAAAGATGCTTGGTCTTGGTAAATCTCAGCCTGGCCAGTCTGAGTATCCAGATTGATGAAGCTTTCTGTGAGCTCCCTTGGGTGTTCCTCATCACTGATCTCTGTATGGTTTTGCTCGAACATATTGCCTTCGCAGTAATCCATATGTTTTTGGCTAGGTTTCTCAGGGAGAGCTTCCTGAGTCAGGACATCCTTCCTCGGTGTTGGATCAACCTCTCCTCTATCACTCAGGAATATATTCTCATCAGTGGGGTTGGAGGTGCCGAACGAGAGCTCTTCCTGGTTGAAGTCTGGCTTAGTACAGATATCTCTAGACCTCCCATCCTGTTTGGAAGCCAGGTGCCTTCTAGCAATTTTCTGGATGGTATTCTCTGGAACTTTCTGGGTATTACAGTTCTCGTCAGTGGCCTCTTCGTCTTCATTCTCGTTTTCGCTAATGTTCAGGATATCCAGATTTCTAAAACAACTTTAGAGGAATTTTGAAAAAGCTTACAATGGGTTTAGTAGTGGCCTTGATAGTCTGCTTGATAGGTTCTTCTGCACACTGGATGGCATCCTATTTTCAGCGGTTATTAACTTAAAATTCAGGGCTTGATAGATGAGACAGAGGAATTTTTGATAATAGCTTCATGAAATTTTGGTAGTTGACGTTTAGGCCAGTACAAATCTTAGGGATATCATAACTAGGAAACCTCAAAAAGCTTACCTTTGGCTTTTATTAGGACTTAGAACTACTCTAGTATTGTTCTTGGGAGTGTCTAACTTGAAAGGCTTCATGGTAACCCAGGATTTGCTCATTTCCATCTTTTGAGGCATCTTTGGAGTAATATTAAACTTTTGAGGACTAGTAGAGTTCTCTTTTCCAATACAAGTACCTTCTCTGAAGGATTTATGCATGCCATCATGTCTACCATGAACATAAGAAGCTGATGCATCTGCTTTATTAGCTGAAGTAGGCATGGGTGTCTTTGACATAGAGTTCTTCAGATTTCTGGCTCTCCTGCGCTGAATAGTCCTAAATTATTAATAAATCCTACTTACTGTTGTTGGTCCTCAGAATCAAGAGTAATGGTGATCTTGTCTCTCTTTTTATCTTTAGCAGTCTTGTAAGCAGAGCAGGGTAGGTTCCTGGTGACTGAGCTCCTCGCCGATCTTGCAAGGGACTGATTCGACCTGGACTCTACAACTCAACGATGGGTTTTGTAATAATTTATCAATGTTTGTACCAGCCTAATGAATGGCTGACATTCTTTTTGAAAATTGGTAGAGCAAGACGGAACATTCTTACTCTTCTTGCCAAGAATTTTCTTGGAGAAAATCTCCAAAACTTTAGGTATTTGGGAGTAGGTGGTTCACTTCATGCTCAAAAGTTTGATTTCTCTTAGTACAATATTCGAATTGTGGATAATGGAGAAGCATAGCCGCATCCAGGTATCTTCTTCATTTAGTGACTTCAACTTTGGATTGTAGAATTTGAGAATTTTAACGAATTCTCTGATGACTTGAATACTCGACTGAATCGGCCGGATCCTCTTCAAGGCTTTGAGGGTCTTCTCGCTGATCAATCCAGCAGCTTTTTCCACCTGTAAGCTCTTAGTGATTTGAAGAGTGCCTTCCTCCAATATGGGGTTTTCAGGCCTGACTTTACTTCAAACATTAGATCTGGAATTTGCTAAGAACTTCGACCTGACTGGTTTTGCTAAGGATTTCAAATTTGAATTGCCGTTGAGTGTACTATGGAAAGAGCTCAGCATTCCTTTGTTGTACAGACTCCCGTAGTGAAGCCTCTCTTGACTTTTATCGTTGTACCGATCCATTCTGCTCCTTCTAGATTTGCTAACAGAGGAGGAAGGTCTCTTGGAAGACTCCAGAGGAACACTTTCCTCTTCAGTGAATTTCGTATGTGAGGTTTGGATCATTGAATTCGTCATTGATTGAGGCATTGTCTGAGTGACATACTCAGAGATGGGCATTGTTAAATCCTGCAATTTTTCAGGTGCTGGAGGGATCTCCTGAGGTATTTCACGGCACATCATTGTATTGTTCAAGGCATTTCTGGGCTTTATGCCTAATCTCCGATGTTCTCTTGAAGCCCTGGCTTTAATTTCAGTATTGAGGGAAGACATCTTTAGCTTAATAATATTCTGCATTTTCTCAAGCTCTTTCTGTTGTTTTTGGAGCTGTTCAAGACTAGAGTCGCCTTCTGAGATAAATGAAGAGTCCCAGAGATGTCTTCTGGAGTCGTTTCCGCAATAAGCTGACTCGCTGGTCTGACTAGCGTGACTAGAGTTATAATTTGTCTTATCTAGAGGTTAATAAGTCGAGCTTACACTTTTGTTTAGAGAGATTTGAGTAATCACTGAGTCTTCTACACTTTCTGGTCTTCCTAGTGATAGCATCTTTGAGGAACCTGTCAGCCTTTGAGTCTGATCTCTGTTTCTCGTTCACACTGGTGCCATAGGCAGTTCGCGAGTTTGGGTAATATGATCTTTCTTTTTTGGAACTATTTTTGTAATTTTCTTTGTAGTCCATTTAGTTTCGCTTAAAATTTATTCTATTTTAACTGATAAAAGGGGTTTTGGGGTTTTGGGGTTTTGGGG